ACAAAGAAAAAAAAGAAAAAAAAAAGATGGAGACTTAATCATTGTCTTTTTTGTTTTGGCATATTTATGTGAATGGTGTTGGTTTTAAAGCCCTATCACAAGTTCTATTTATTTACAGTGGGTGGAATTATTACCCTTTGCTTTAAAGTTTTGATATTTATGTGAATGATGCTGAATCAAAGCTATTGTCATAAGCTTTTATTTACTTAAAAGCAATTTATTTACCATGGCTGAAATTACCGACTATTGCTTTAATTTATTTAGTGTACTACATTTTATGAAGAGTATATAAAAGGACCCAAAGTTCCTTAATCAGATTAGAACCTAAAGTTTATTGATCCTCATTATACAAAATGATTGGACCTGAATTTCCACCATTAAAAAAGATTAGACCTGAAGTTCCACCATCATCATTATATAAAAAGGATCGGATCCAAAGTTCCTTGATCAAATCAAAACTTGAAGTTTTTGAATCAATTGAGAGAGCAACAATTCCTTAACTAAATTAAAATGATGGCCACAAGTGCCTCAGTCCACAAACTATTAAATAAGGGCCATAAGTTCATTGATTCATGTAAATGAGGACCATAAGTTCCTTAATCCATGTACAAATTAAGTATCGGCATGAATTCTAAAATATGAACCTAAAGGTTCTAATGATGTCAATTTTGAGAATAAATTTCGAGTGCATATGAATAATGTTTTGACCTAAAGTTTAAAATATGAATAATGTTAAGAACTTGAAGTTCTAACATTTTGTGTAGACATAAGTTATATGTGGTATGAGTTAATTATCGCAATTTCTGTCATACCTGAATTCCTTCCTTTTGGGAATAAGAAAATGGTGAACTTAGCAAAACCCGATCTTGTGACCATCGACATCTTACACAAGAGATACTTTCATGAATTCATAATTCATGAGAATTCATGTGGAAGCATATGATATTAGAAAACATATATACTTAAGGGCTCATTGAATCATATTCATGGAAATAGAAGTTTCCATTGTCTCTTCATTAGTTCATTAATTATGGAACCAGAAGTTTCCATGGGTTCATATATATAAAAAGCTAAAGTAGAAGCTTTCAAACATGTATAAATCCAAATGGGAGAATTTTTTCTTTTTATACATACACATGAGTTACAACTACAAAACCAAATAAATGGGGGGCCTTCACAAAGGTTGCTCATGTGAAGACTTAAAACTTGGCAATACCCCAGAAGGGAAAGGCACTGGAGGTTGATCATGTAACGCCTTAGTACTTGGAAAAGCACCAGAAGAGGAAGACACCAGTTGTCTTCAAAATCTAGCCACGAATCTTTGGTGATCACTTTGAATCCGACTTTTGGATTCATGTAGCTAGTCAAGCTTTCTTTCATGCTCGTCAAGTAAATATTTGCAAGTTTGTGCAACTCTTTATTCTCGTGCTTGAGCCCTCTAATTTCTTGTCTAAGACTTGCCACCTTAACAATTAATGTTTCGACTTGGCGAGTTCAAGCAAGTAGACGTTGGCCCATGTTGGATACAAAACCCGCACATTGAACACTAAAAGCCAAAGAGTATTGAACAACCAATTCATCAGACCTCTTTGAAAGTATTATTTTATCTCTAGGAGTGAGAAGGTTCCTAGCTACTACTGTAGCCATTATATCATTCCTCATCACAAAGTCTTCAACTGTAAGAGGGCCATTAAAAGATAAAAAGGACGAGTGCAGTATATTATCCTGACACGGCTCGTGTGTATCTCATCCGAGACTCAAATCTAAACAAGGGTTGGATGGGCAAGCCATTTTCAGAAATGATGAAAGAAAATGGTTAGATAGAGTGAAATCTTAGAAATACAACAAAGATAATTTTCACAAGCGGGCAACCTTCAAAGCGTGCATTTTTAATACAATTGATACCTCTATATAATAAGAGGCAACACATCCACCTGTTCAAAAATCAAAGAGACACTGCTCTCCAAATTTCAAAAGCCAGATTTTCCTGAATAAAGTTTGTCAACATTTCTCTGACGCAATCTCAGCTTTCTAGATATGAAGGACAACTCTATCAAAATATCTTTGGCAAAGTTAAAATTCGTAAGGTTCACTATTCTAACTACACCATTGTTGCCAACAATTGTGGGTGACAAAGTTATAACCGCACCACTACTTGCTATTGGGAAATCCCTATATATGTTAACTTTCGACCTCCATGGCAAAGAACACCTCCAAAACGCCTAACTCATCTTCCTTGCCGAGAATGCATCTGCAACTAAACCTCTCAACATATTCAATCTTCATTCTCTCGAATACCTCTTCAACCAAGTCCCTCAAAATACCAAACTCATTTTCTCAGCAAGAAACTCATTTCGATCGAAAACGTTTACACCAGCATCAAAATCTTATACTTTTTCCTTCAAGAGCAAATGTATCCCATATCATTAGGGTCGATAGTAAGAGTGTCTCATATCATGCTATTTCCTTGTCTTTTCCTTTGACATTGCTCTTACATGCAAGACAAGGAGAAAGAAAGCAATCAGTCGAAACCTGAAATCAAACTTCCAGTTAGGAACCGACTGCCTATAACCTTTCCTTGATTACTTACCTTACATTGCTCTCGAGTAGTCATATTCAACTGTTGTTGGAGTTGGGTCTCAAGTCACTAACACCATATAATAATTGGTACGTTGTTGGCTCTTTACACTAAAGCTGCCAAGCATGGATGAGTCACCAAGAAGTGATGGACCATCCAAGGGCAAAGGTTGCACACCACTTCTACTGTGCAAGAGACTGAAACAGAAGGATCAACGATGAGCCCATAGAAGTTCAAATGGAGAAAATTGGTGGTTGACTGAGTGAATGGAAGACCAAAGTTCAATGATGGGAATCATACTCATAGCCCCAGCAAACATTATCATTTTCTATTTCACATGATGTACAAAAAGGTAATGAAAATTACTAATTGATTACAAGTTACAGAGTTACCACACGGATTGAAGTCTAAGTCAGACTATCCATAGACTTGGCATTACTGAACTGTTGCATGCCCGAAGCATGACAGTCGCTGCATGAATTCAAGTTCTAAAAGGATAATCCATGGACACGGAAATTTTAATATATCTCATGCCAGAAGCATAATCGATGTGTAGGTTCCAATTATTCAACTCCCCACAAGTGGATATTAAAAATCCAAGCTCTATAACGCTTTAGAGGATGTTATGATCCAAATTCTAAAACAATTCATCTAATAAGAGATGACTATCTTAGAAGAGACAATGTAAAGCCCCTGAATAGGCAAGGATATCCAGAGTAATGAAATGCTTATAAACATGCATGCGCATGCACATGCACATTAGAATTATAAGATTAAGAATTGATGATTATCAATGTTAATTTTGGTTTTATAGTAGCTACTAAATTCATCAAAGAGATGTGTTGATATTGAGTTACGTTCTTTTGTTCGTCGACAAAAAGCAAAATTATTGGGCAAAATGGAGGAGGGCAATTCCATTACAATTTATTAAGAGCGTGGAAAAATGGACCTATAGTACAAATCGCCAAATGATGTTGAACCCAGAAGGTTACATATGGGCATTTGTAATACAATGAACTACAACATGATATGACACAAGGTTTCCAGTTGAAACCTGAAATTGTAATACACTCTTGGAAACATGATTTCTCATTGTAAAGCTTGTTCAATTCAGTGGAGAATTATACATGCCTGAAGCATATCTCAACAAGTAAATCCCTTAAATATACATGGAAGCAAGTTGCTCTATATAAATTCCAAAGGTGAATGTGTCATAAAGTGCAGAAAATCCCTGAAGGATTCAGACTGCTTGAAGAAAGCCATGGAAAGGTAAAGTATAAACTATGTACTCAATACCAATAGATGGTATAAATTGCCTTAGTGAGTACTATCTTTATGATGTTGCAACATACTAAATACCTTGCAATAGTTGATAATATTAGAGTGGGACTTTTGAAGAGTTTCGAAAGATTATAAAGCGTTGAAAGGAATATTGTCTCGAGCTGCAAATTAAACAATATGCCAACATAAATCTTATCCAAAATGTTTATGGTATTAAAAAACCATATGGATTGAAGATTATGAGTTGAATACTCAAATGATTAATCAATATTTAGACACTAAGAAAGATCATTCATCCTCATGAGGGAAATGATGAATTGATATTTAGTCCAAGAGTACCATATCTTAGTAAGGTACGTGCCTTACTGTATTTAGTACAATACGCTGAGTCAGATGTTACATTTTCTGTGAAGCACAATTCCAACATATGGTATTAGAATAAAGTAAAGTTTATCTTTTGATAACTCCAGGAAATTATAGACATGTGCTTATTCTATTCCAAAGAACTCACTAATAGCCATGGTCTTATTGGGCAAGCAAAAATCTGAATATCTCTTTAGCTTGCATACAAATTGCTCTCAGAAATGATTTGTATTTACATATGGAAATAAATTGATCCTACAACGATCAAGGAAACAACATTCAGTGCCACATCTTCATATCTCTCAGAAATACAAGAGTTTGGTTAAAACTTACGGCTATTAAAATTTGGAGCGCATGTGAACCACCTTTAGAAGCAAACACTCCAACTATCATGAATGATATTAGATTACATCAACATAGTAATCAGTCAAATTAAAGAATTCGAAATCATGGGGAATACTCATCAGGGGGAGCATCCAAAACGTATCAAGGTTTTAACGAGGCAATCAAAATTGATGTATGGCCATCCAAGGAGGAGTGTTGTAATATAATATGTGGATGGCCCACATGAATAGTTTGTTACTATTCATCAAAAAAAAATCAGATGGATTATTATTCATATGAAGAAAAACGGATGGATTACTATTCATGCACAATATTTCACTATTCATTTGAGGAAAGTTTGTAAAGTAAATAGTGTTGCTATAGTAATCTTTTGCCTATAAGATGAGAGCATACGGAGGAAGGAAGAAGTGAGAAGAAGAAGAAAGAGATGAGAGAAAAACATACAGAGGAAAGAAATATGAGTTATGGAGGAAAATGAAGAGAAGACGAAAGAATAGAGATGTAGAAGAAATTACCAGTAAGCCAAGCTAGAGATAAAAGAGAAAATAGTGAGAGTTATTTTGTACTCCTATTATTTCAGATAATGAAAGAAAGTACTACTGCTGCCGCGAGGACATAGGCACACTTGCCAAACCTTGTAAATATTGTGTTTTATTTACTTTATTCCACTGCACACATATCATTGATTTTACAACAACGAAGAATTAGTTGTTGATTATTGATTTTTATTTTTTTTAACAAATTAACTGTTCATTATTAGTTTCGTAATATTTACGATGAATTGATATGATGATTGGTAGTAGTGGTATTATATTCAACATCACCATCATTGGTTTGGAAAATTACACATGACCATGATCTAGAAGTTGTTTCAAACTGCCAAGAATCCCATTACACATCTAAAAGAGGGTAAACCTGTTAAAAATAGTCACTTATGGTTAATATATATTACATATAGTTCCATTTAAGTTAATTTTTCCTTTAAGCACAAACCTAGTCACTAAATGGAGAAGATTTTGGATGTGGTCATCGTTGGTAGTGGGCCCCTTCGTATTGTGTGAAATGAGGTGAAATACAAATGAGATCGGGTGAACATGAAAAAATTAGAAGTGAGATAGGAATGATTTTGTGTGTGCGAGCCATATGATCACTTAGTCCGATCTCTAGATTCTCCACCAAATGACACCGAAAACACTTCTTTTTATTTATTTATTAAGAGTTTTGAACGTATATAGAATTTACATTTATCTTACTAATGACTTCATAATCATCCACCAGATTATCAAACCTAAATGCGAGTTGTGAACACTTTTCAGACCAACTTTCTACTTGGGGTTTTCTTCTTAATTAGAGCATTTCCAATGCAAAGACTCAAATTTTAAATCTATATTATTATATTAGGTACCAAAAAAGTTATGGATTTATGGGTAAAACTTTGGAAGGCAAGGGTTCCCCCAAAAGTGAAGATTACTTGTTGACGTCTATGCAAGAATATCGTCCCCACATAACACAACTTGGCTACCAAGCATATTACGACAGATCTATCATGCATACTATGCCACTCCGCTTAGGAGTCAATATTCCATCTCCTTAAGAACTGCCATTTTGCTAGGTGTGCTTGGCTTTGCTCCATTTGGAGCCCCTGCCTCGTGGCCAAAACATCGACTCTTGCATCAACTGGTTCTCGGACCTGGCTTTTTCTCACCCCTTAGCTCTTTTGAAACATTGCTCATGATCTCCTAGGCAATCTGGAATAGCCGTAATTCAATGCTATGAAAGGGCACTTGCGAATCCCCATATCTTATTGTTGCTCACTTAATTACTTGGTGGCAGGAATACTTGCGCGTGCAAGCTCGCCAAAGTCAATCCCGCTCTATGGATCTTGGTCCTTGCAAATGGTCTTTACTATTGTCTGGTCGTCTCAAATTGAATTTTGATGGAGCCTGGAATCGTGATTCTCTAGTTGGATGAGCTTGCATCATCGTTAGGATGAATTTGGAAAGTCGGGGCTCATTGCTGGAATTGGCAGAACGTCTCATCTTTGCTAATGGCGGAAGCTTTGGCAGCTCATGAGTGCGTGGTTTGGGTAGCGTTAATAGGCTTTCAAAATTTTATTATGGAAGGTGACTCTCTTCAGATTGTGGTTGCTTTTAATCATTCGTTAACTAATGTATCTCTAATCGGCATATTATTGAAGATTCGAAGAGTTTGCTTGCCGCAATCACTGAAGATCTTTCTACCCATGTTTTCTTTCAAGCCAACACTATTGCTCATAGGATAACTAGGTTCAGTCTAAATATTAGCAATCATTTTGAATGGCTTGACCATCCTTTGAGTTTCATTATTGACCTCATTGTGGAGGATGTTATGTAATCCATTTGTACTATTCTTCTCGGCTTTCTTTGGCTTTAGAATCTAAGGGTGGTTCGGTATGGAATCCCAAACAGAAAATGGAATCTTGAATCCCTAACAGAAAATTTTTAGGACTGAAATTTGAAGACCAACCCCGAACAGAAATTTTGGTATTCCCAAAATATTTTTGGTATTTCGGGATGTTCGGTATCCCCAAATTTCATACAAATTGAAATACCAATAATTCATACCAAGTCAAATTAACATGCAACCAAAATAAAATAAATTACAAACCCAAAAGCAAACAAATAAGTTACAACCCTAATATGTTTGAAAAGTAACAATACAATTTTTTTATTTCGTGTTGAAGAGATAGACACATTTGGTTGAGAAGCAGCAGTGCAGGGTGAGTGTGTGTAGGAGGTTTGTACCGGCAATTATGGTGGTAAAGGGTTATGGTTACTACCTTTAGACCAAATGACATAGTTAAAATTTTGGAAATCCAAGAGTTGGATGGTAGCGTTGAACAAATGGAGTAAATGGCTATGGTTACTACCTGTAAACCACACCAATTATATTGCTACTAGTAGTTTGAAACAATTCAAATGTCCTTTTTTTCAGTACTTGAATTCAACATTCAACTTCAACATGCATGCAACCAAAATAAAACAAGTAACATAACCAAAAGCAAAAAAAATAAGTTACAAACTATAGTTCCAAAATAAAATAAGTTCCAAACCAAAAGCAAAAAGAAAAGCTTAAATATGCATAATATATATATATATATATATATATATATATATATATATATATATATATATATATATATATATATATATATAATATTCATTTTTGGTTCCGTATGGGATCACTGAAATATTGAGAAGACAATACCGATTTCCATACCAAATTTTCGAGATCAGTTCAGTATGTCATCCCGAAAATTTCGGGAATTTTGGTTTAGGATCAGAATTTTTTTGGTTTGGTTTAGGATTTTCGGGATTTTTTTCCAGCCCTATTAGAATCAATCTACTACTATCGTTTGTCTCAAAAATAAAAAAAAAAAGACTCAAAACTCATATTTGAATGTTAACAATTTAATTATATATCTCCAACTTGGAAGCGAGCTATGCAGTTCGATTTGATTTCTCGGCATTTAGACGTATGCTTGGAGTCGGTTAACCATGCATGAAGGTTACCTTTTGATTAGTGGTGGTATCTGAGATAATGGTGTGGCATATTCCAATTTAGGATAATTGTTAGCATAGAAATATATGCTAATAATTAGCATATCCTTCAGGTGGAAGCACGGCATGGGCTAATGCACCTAGATGTGAATATGGGTACTAATATTGCATGGTTTCTCATGATGCTATAGGAAGAGTTTCATGTCCATGCAAATTGACTTGGTTTCGTCAAATTCAATGGCCAATAGCCAATGATGATGGGTCATTGTTAAACGGCTAATTGACGTTGGGATGGCTATCAAGAGTTTTTATTTGTATGGAGTGCTTATCTTCAGGGGGTTCAAGTTGTGGCCAGCTACGGATGGTACGTGAGAAACACATATAGAACTGCTAACTCCTCCCTATAAATACAAGATGTCGACATAGATAGCTCTGTCACTGTAGAATCAGCCGGTCTCGCAGCATCTTCCGTTGGCATCAACAACACTACGGCGAGGACGGTTGATTACCTATCCAAGTCTCGGTCGAGAGGGATTTTTGAATCCTTATTGGTCGAGGTCATCTTATCAGCCTTCTCGGCAAAGTGAGGTGTTACACTTATTACATTCGGCACATTGAAAGCCGAATCTGATTCGTGAACTTCGTAAGAATAGTAGCCTTGTCTTTAGGCTTGAAAATCCAAGAGGCCGAGATGTGTTCCTTTCTCGGCCGCAATCGCAAGACGCAGAAGTCAGTAGTGCGACCCAACGTAACATCAACAAATTTTACTCCTCGGCCGACGAGTTGTCACGCCCTGCATTCACCAAAGGACGTAGATTACTTGCTGAGAAAAATTATTTCCTGACATGCTGCTTACAAGAAGATAAGGGCCAGCCGTGTTGAAATAGGTCTTCACGTGGCCTAGCCTATTCACCCTGTGAGATGGGCATTCGGTGGGACAAAGAGGCCATTTGGTGGTATCCACTCATTCGACCGACTTCATGGAAGGCCTTATTTGAAAAAGAACCAGGTGTTAAAAGCGGTTGAGGTTAGAAAATCCAGATGAGGAGTCTCAAAGGTGTTGTAATAACCAAATATATAAGCCAAGGTCGAAGTCGAGACAAATATATAAGCCGAGGTCGAAGTCGAGGAAAGTAGGATATATATATATATATATATATATATATATATATATATATATATATATATATATATATATATATATATATATATATATATATATATATCCTAAATGGTGGCCTGATGCCGTGCGTACATGTGTGTGCGCGTTTATATATATACATATATATTTCCTAAACGGTATATATAAAGGGGGCACATGTGATATAATCGACGGATTAGACTTAATCTTACCGAGGATGAGTATATATAAAAGGGCTGCTTGCCGAGAGTTTTTTTAGGCCGAGCTCGGCGTACTTATCGAGAAATACTTCCCAAGTTATGTAACCAAGTCTTTGGGCTTAGACTTAACTTTTGAAACTGGGGGACATAACTGGCCGCGGGCTTCAAATAAGACTGAAACAGGATGTGGCTTTGGGTATCATGGACGACAGAGCGTGCAGGCCTCAATGAATGTATGGGTACAGATCAGTTCATGCCATGCGGTAGAGTGTATATATATATAAGCAGGCCGAGCTCGGCCAAAGGTTGATTATCATGCCATAAAACATAGCACTTGCTTGACCCCGGTCCTTCTCGGTCACACTTGCTCAACTATTAGCATGATGTGCTTTTCGTTTGCCGAGAAATTTTTATCTTCTTCGGCGATACCACGAGATTTTGGTGGGTACGAGACTTAATTTCCTTAACCATTCGGCTTACGAATCGAAGCTCAAGGAAACTGGGGGGCAATGTTTGGACCCCAATTTACACCATCGGTCCGTGCAATCAAGGCCGTTGAGTGAACATAGCTTCCAACCATTGGATGGAAAAGTGAAGATAATTTTATTATTATTAAAGGATAATATTATGGTTTTTATCATAATAATTATCTTTTAATATGAATTATCTTGAAATTCTCTCATACGGGATAAATAGGATGCAAATTATATCTCCAACTTGGAAGCGAGCTATGCAATTCGATTTGATTTGGGATTCTCGGCATTTAGACGTATGCTTGGAGTCGGTTAACCATGCATGAAGGTTACCTTTTGATTAGTGGTGGTATCTGAGATAATGGTGTGGCATATTCCAATTTAGGATAATTGTTAGCATAGAAATATATGCTAATAATTAACATATCCTTCAGGTGGAAGCACGGCATGGGCTAATGCACCTAGACGTGAATATGGGTACTAATATTGCATGGTTTCTCATGATGCTATAGGAAGAGTTTCATGTCCATGCAAATTGACTTGGTTTCGTCAAATCCAATGGCCAATAGCCAATGATGATGGGTCATTGTTAAACGGCTAATTGACGTTGGGATGGCTATCAAGAGTTTTTATTTGTATGGAATGCTTATCTTCAGGGGGTTCAAGTTGTGGCCAGCTACGGATGGTACGTGAGAAACACATATAGAACTGCTAACTCCTCCCTATAAATACAAGATGCCGTGCAACATTTGAGGCCCTCCAATTCAACACGCAAAATTGCCCTGTGCAAACTCTCTCAACAACTTTGAGATTTTCTATTTTCTCTTTTCACTGACACATCTTCCGTTGGCATCAACAGCACTGTGAAAGCAACCGGTGATATCTTAAGTCGGCATAGATAGCTCTGTCACCGTAAAATCAGCCGGTCTCGCAGTATCTTCCGTTGGCATCAACAGCACTACGGCGAGGACGGTTGATTACCTATCCAAGTCTCGGTCGAGAAGGATTTCTGAATCCTTATTGGTCGAGGTCATCTCATCAGCCTTCTCGGCAAAGTGAGGTGATACAGTTATTACATTCGGCACATTGAAAGCCGAATCCGATTCGTGAACTTCATAAGAATAGTAGCCTTGTCTTCAGGCTTGAGAATCCAAGAGGCCGAGACGTGTTCCTTTCTCGGCCGCAATCGCAAGACGCAAAAGTCAGTAGCGCGACCCAACGCAACATCAACAAATTTTACTCCTCGGCTGAGATCGGCCGACGAGTTGGTACGCCCCATATTCACCGAAGGACGTAGTTAGCTTATAGATTACTCGGCCTGTGTGCCACGTAGGCTTAGTAGTTTTTAGAGTTAACAGATAGTAAGCAAAGTAATGAAATCAACACATAGAATTCAACTTTTGATTGCAGAAACCAACTTTAAACACCCATGGGAGATTCACAAAACACTTAGGGCCAGATTCAAACTTTTGGACCGTTTCTTCAACAACCAATACTTGTGAGTTCATTCTCACTTATTTTGAATTCTTTCTTTTTTCTTCTCTTTTTTACATTTTTTTTTTTGTTGGAAATAACCTTCCCCGACACGTGTTTTTTGCATAATGTTTGATCAAAAGGAATTCCCTCTAAGTCATGCTCCACTATACTTTAAGAATAAGGGTATGGATAGTCCTATTCTAGGCTAGGTAAGGATAATGTGGCTAACAAATAAAATAGGCTAAATAAGGCTCAAAGGGGTTAAACCTACAAAACATATGCAAGGGATTAAGGCTTTTTGGCTTTGGTGGTAACTAAACAACTTCATCTTGTTATATGTTATGCACTCAATTTTAAGCTTTGAATGAAACGGGCATGAGTTCTAGTATTTGGAACTAAAATGATGAAATAGCATTCTAAGTAGCAACCAAGCAAAGAAATAATGAGATCTTCCAACGACCTTAGAAAACAAAAACATCACAGATTAATAATTCTCCAAATAAAGTTTAGGCGCAAGTCTCTCAGGATTGTAGGGTTAGTTTGAGTTCCTTCCTTGAAGCATGTT